ACTGACGGGAAGAAGGGAAAGAGAATGTCTTGAATTCAAAATTTTAAGCTATCTGTCTATCAACAGTGATTATGACCTGCACAGCTTAAGCTCTCAGATCTGTCAAAACCGCAACAAGGTGAAATATATAAATGCAGAATCAAATCAACATTTTCCTTCCTAAAAGTTTGTATTGTAAATAGTCTTAAATTGAATGGATTATTGATATGTGATAAGTTGAATTAATGGTGGATTGGATATTAAATGAATGGCAAAAGTGAAATTAATCGTTGTACTTTTGAACTCAATATCATCAATAGCAACCCAACGAGTGAAAGCAAAAAGAAATTCCTTGAAGTTTCCCATTCCATTTCTATCTTAGTCCATCTCCTCTGCAACAATTAGACAAGACTGAGCAACTCGAACAATATACATTAAAGAAAATGAAGAGAGGAACATGAAAGTTTGTTTAAAGAAGATCAACACCCCAATCCATATGAAAGGATTTATACGTTTTTAGATTGTTGAATCGCGTGAAATTTCATTGGTTCCTTAGTCCAAAAACTTCTAGCCAGTAGCCACTCAGAAGATTAATTGATTGTTTTTTGATGAATTTGCTTGAATATCATCTATATAAACAGGTGGAAGCAATAATAAGTTCCCTTACCCTTAGATCCTGTAACTTTATCCTCCCTTCAGAAGGCCATGATGATGGTGGCCTTCTATCTTCCACAATTGCTGGAGGCTCTGGAGGTATGTGCATGAACTGTTTGATTCGTTCCACTGAAATAATATAATTAGTCAAGCTGCTATACCATCGAATCGTGAACACTTGGGTGCTTGTCAAAGCCAAAGCATAAGAAAGAGAAAGTCCAACAAGCCCTGCAAAAATAGACATGTTTTAAGAATCTAAAAGAAAATTTCTAAGCAATAAATGAATTATTCCACTAAACCATGGATATACCTGGATCAACATAACCCTTGGGAAGTAAAACCAAGAGAAAAACAGCAATGAATAAAGTAAGATTTTGAAGTGCTTCTACTCTCAAAATTAACCACTCCATGGTTGCATTGGAGTAAAAGAAAAGTTTTGCATCATTGTCTACAAGCTTTATGTAGTTTTGGAAGAACCTGTTTGCCATGTTAAATGCTCTTATAGTTACCACTCCAAGTGAGGTCTCGGCTGCATAATTCATGACAGGTGCTTTTGTTGTTCCATTGATTCTCATTAGTTCCCTTGTAGAGGCTTGATAATATCCCTTGAGTCAATAAAGAATTTTCTTAATTAAAATTTTCCTTTCATTGATGAAAATAAGAAAAATATTACTATTAAGTTGGAAAATCAAACTCACCTGAACATATTTTGATGCCACTGTAGCAAAGAATGCTACAAAGAAAACTTGCCACGTGACTGATGCCAACATAGTCTCTACATATATATACACACACACATATATTATATTCATCGGTCATATCTTGTGTAAAGAGGACCAACATTCTTCCAAAAAAAGACAGAACCAGCTGCAGCAGATTAAGATCTCCATCATGAAATAGATTAAGTAATAGGCTCCACGATCGGAAGCTACCAAGATATTCAAGCGGCTAATAAATTTCTTCATGAACAAGGGCTTACCTCCTTTTGTTCAAGCTTTTTGTCTAATTCTTTGAGCTCCCTATTTAATGTTTCTTGAAGAGAAGAATGTTCTAGCTCTTTCACCTCGTCTTCCACGTCAAATTGTGGAGCAAGGGCAAGACAGATACAGACATGGCTGTTGTACAAACAAAACATGTCTCCATTTCCAAAATCTGCTATTGTTAAAAAAAAAATTAAAAATGGTGCAGGTGTGTGGTTTAACTCCACCTATGTCGTGCTAGAATTTAATCTTTTAGTCCCAAGCCCTGCTAAGGAGGGTTGTGCGTTATGTATTAGCCTAACAACCAATATGTAAAAATTCATCTCTGATCCCATACGAACATGAATCGTAATATGAATATGTGTGCTTGGAATTCATGCCACAGAAGCAGTTTAAAATCAAGCAGCAAAAATTCTGGAATCAATTCTGGATCAAAGCATTGGAGCAGCATGCACCAATCCCATGCCACCTTCATGATAGAAATCCCTGTGAAACATAGAAACGGTCCAACAGAGGTCCAGTATCAGCCTGCTAGCTTCATACAAGGTCAGAGAAAATACCTGGAATAATAAGTGGTAGAAGTTAGAATGAATAATATTGCAATTCAATAGGAAAATTTAGAAATATAAGAAATTGTTTAGTGGACCTAGATTATCATCCTCATTATTAGATGAAGAATAATAGGGGGGGGGAAGTTTGATTATGATTAAGTTTCATGCAAATTACGTGAGAGAGAGGGAACTCTTAATTAGGCCACTCCTAGACCCAAAATGCAAATGAAAAATAATGGAACCAACTGATCAAGGTCAGAAAAGAATTCACAACCAAGTTGTGAAACCACACAACAAATCTTTGACCCTTGACTTCGAAGCTGAAAACAATAAGAACCCAACAGCAAAAAGGAGGATCTGGTAGCAGCCTCTATTGATTAATGACAACTTTAAAACAAAGCCCAATTAGCTTTTTTGCCCTCTCTAAATTACTAGCTACTTTTTATGATCCATTTCCATTTGTTTCGTAATACTAAGCATGGAAAAGTGATACAATTATGTACTCAACACAACTCAGCAAAGCCTTATTCCCAATTACTTGGGGCCAACAACATGACTTCTGTTTTGCCATTCCACTGGATCAAGGGCCATAGTTTCATTAAAATCAAAAGTAAACATTTCTTTCAATCATGTAATGAAACAACTAAACCAACAACATTTCAAGGGAAGAGACGGGAGGGAAGTAGATGCTGTAATGCATGCAATGCATTTACAAAATTCAAACAATTTTTGCACCATTAAATTTGGAAGGTATTCATTGTCATGTTCACTCGCAACCCTAGAGCATCATACATGCTTTACCACTTCAAGGGACTTAATACCGTCTTAAGAAATCTTTATTTAAAATCTGGTGCAGATTTATTATTGTCGAAATAATCATTACAAATGCTGTGAAATATTCATCCTTTATATATATTCAAGAAGTATAAAGAAATTCATGTATAAGAAATTAAAGCAAAACATCCATATATGACCATACAATACCCCTTATAAAAGAACAAGCACAAGCTAAGCAACACAATCAGAAATGCACAATCGCATGAGAGAGGGTGAGGCTCACATTTGGCCCACAAATACGAGCAGCGGATGTTCAAGGATGGGTCTGCTTCAAAATCCAGATACACACATGTGCTCAGATGATTAGTAACCTGTTTCAAAATAGTCACAATTATTTGTCAACCCCATTCTGCAGGCTTATAGAGCTTAAGTGCGAGGACATTTACCGTTTCCAACATTGTTGATAGAACCTTGTTTCAGCATCTCTTCAACCATGGCAGCTGCAGGATCAACTACTTTTATCCAATTCCACTGTCGTCTCCAACTGCAAAAGCAAACCATAATTCAAGGAAATTAAAAATCAAGCTAATAAAAATAACAATTAAAAGGAAAAAAAAATAATTGGTAAATAGTAATACAATAACTTGCAACTACAATTTTGAGTGATGAACTGATCCAAACCAGCAAAGTTGAATGCCTTGATCAAAATTGTAAGTAACATTTTACAAAGTAATATCTAAAATTCATAACACTTTATTTACAAGGAGTCAAAGACAACAAGTTTTTGAGATCTGTGAGCCATCTTTGGTATTGCCTGAAAAACATATGTATTAAACAAAACGAAATATCTCTTTATTATAAGAAAAAAGTGCATAAATACAAGATCTACAAGGACAAATAAAGTTGAGATTTGTGAGCCATTTTTGGAATCATTAAGAGCCATAGATATTAAATAGGTTTTTTTTGTTTTTTATATGAATAAATAAGCTTTATTGAGAGAGAGCATCAAGCGAATACAAGCTGTATACAAAAAACAAAAAGAAAGAACTTCACAAACAAACAAGAGGTCAATGAGAAAGATATACACACGCATTACACATCTATGGTTTCTAAATGACCAAGGTTGGGATTAACCCTTTTTGAAAGTCAATTTATAGAAACAACATAAACTACATCAAGAAGAAAGACAATACTAGCTATGTTTTCCTCCTCTTTTCCCTGCTAGGAATCCCTAAAATGGTTGGAATCAATACACAAAACTACTTAACAACAGCAAAATGAAGGAAGATAAGAGGCATAGATTCCCCGTCTTGCTGGTATAAGTAACACCAATTAGAGGCCCCATAGGTAAACACAGAGCCATGTCAGATGTTCAACCATTTTATTCAACCTTTGCCTCGGATGGAGAGAATAAATACATATAAAGCACTTACATGTACACCAGCAGAAATGTGAAGATAGAGTGGCTTTTCACCATCGGGAGCTGCGCTTGGAGGACGATATTTGCACCTGCAAATATAATTTGATCAAATGCATTATACACAAGAATAAGATATCAGTACAATGGACCTCATTATAGCCTGCAATGACATATTTACCTTGTTTTTTTTTTATACTTTATTTTCAACATCCAACATAGGGAAAATGAAAAGAAAATCACACAAAATTGAAAAAATTGTAAAATTAACCAGTGGATTGATGTTAATGATAGCTTGCTGAAGCTGAGGCAGATGCAGAGGCAAGAGAGAGCATCATCAAAGCCATCTGAATCAGAAAAGACGATGAAATGATGAGATCAATTTGAAACACTTAAAATTAGTAAAAAAAATCAAGCAGTGATATTCGAGAGAAGTAGAACTTTGTTGAGTCTAAATTCGAATCGGTAATCGATGTAAAAAAACAAGAGTAAGAACACAAAAACAAACCTCAGATAAGTAATGAAGTCGTGTTCAGATCTAGAAACAAAACAACCAAAAACAGAAAACCAACCCTGCCTTTCAAATAAAATTGATAATTCAAACAAAAAAGAGAACAAATCACTGTTTTCTTCATAGATCTATAGATACACATACATATGAGGTAGTGAGAGTGAGAGATGCACCACATCTGCCAAAAAAAATTGAAGGAAATGATAGATCTATTGTGAACGAAGCTTTAGATCTCAAATCGGCTAAAAAAAAATATATGAAGAAGATGAAGAATCAAACCCATAGACTTCATGATCTGTGTGTGTGTGTGTGTGAAAAATGATAGATCTACCTGATTGAAGCTTAACATATCATATGTTCGATAGATCTACCGTTAACGAATAATGATAAATCAATTTTCATGATCCATTTTCTCACTGAGATGAAATCGCTCTGAATCTCTGAGATGAAATCATTGAGATGAATCTCTCAATCGCTCTAATAAGGGTTTAGAGAGGATGGAGAGAGAGAGAGAGATAGATATTTAGAGAGAGAAAGAGAGACAGTGAAGCTCACCTTCGTTGGTGCTCGCTTCCTCAACCTGAGAATGAACTAGTGGTGGAGCTTCGAAATCGCTCTCAGAGAGAGAGAGACGAAGAGGGCTCTCGATTTGGGTCTTAGGCGAGTCTCAGATTCAAAATCAGGGTTGGATAAGAAAGGGAGACCCAGCGCGTGAGGCACAATGCATTTGGAGGCGTTTTTAAACGCCTCTTATTATAAAACGGTGTCGTTTTATTAAATAAATATGCGACGTTTTATAAAACGTCGTTAAATATTAAAAATAGTGACGTTTAAAAATGTGTCGCTAAAAAAACGCCGTCTAAACTCCTTTTTCCTGTAGTGAATTTTTACCTTGATATCTGGGTGAGTTAATATAAACTTCCCAATAGATGGATCGAGCATGAAGCCATTGATGCCATTTCTAGTGCTAAGGACTAGCTACAACACCATTGCAAAATCGTGTCGTTACAATTGAAAACACTAAAAACAATTCAATGCTAAAAGCTTGAGCACCGTTAGTTAGATGAACAAACAAAACCTAGTAGGATGCTTATTTCACAAACCAATTGTGAGAAAACTACTAGAATAATCAACATGATGGAGCTTCTCTATCAAAAATAAAAAATAGAAACCCAAGGTTTCCCACAAACAAAAATTCATGAAAAAGCATCTAAAACACAGAGAAGGTAATGATAATTACCATGCAAAAGCTTCCATACCTGCATCCAACAAATTCTTTCCGGATTACAATACATAGTTGAGAGTTGGATTCTCCTTATCTTTCACCATATAAATCCCAAAGATCTATATCC